CCTTAGCCACTTGAGCCACAGGCGCCAAGCCCCATTCCTTCTAAAATAAAAAGGAATAGCATAGTCATGCTTAACTTTCTCATCAGTACAGAACACAAGTTTCTGTCCATAACATTTCATTACTCATCAATAGGCACAATTTATGGAAAACTTGAAAAAGGTCAAGAGAAGCAATTAATCAAAACCAAGCTATGAATATACTACATTTAGGCATCGTAAATTGACTTTATATATCCACAATTTCTGTTAGAGCTAAGATCTTTAATGGGAAAAACATTTGGGTAGGTAGAAACACAAGGAAAAGTACAAATCTAGGTCAGAGAACTATTCATTCTAGTCAAAATCTCTAAGATTTGAGAGGTCCAGGGGAAACACAGTAGAGATAGAGGAAAATCAAGTCATCCAATTGACAGGGCAAATATACAAATCCACCTGAAAGAACAACTGGACTTTAAAAATATGAGAAGTAGGGGGGCGGAGCCAAGATGGCAGACTGCAGCAGCTTTTTACAGGAGCTCCCATCCAGAAGGAGATTGAAGATGCACTTCAACCCTCCTGAGGCAAGCTGCGACCCTAAAAATACAATCAAAAAGTACAAAATCCACCACCAAGCGGACGGGAGTCCCCTCCCCCACAAGAAGGGCTTGCAGTTTACTCCATGCAAACAAGTGAGCAGAGTTCAAATATCCTCCCACTCTATCACACAGGAGAGACCCCCTAAAAACTGGACCTCCTACCCCTGCTGGCATGCCACAGCACCCTCCTGCCAGGCATAAAATTGTATATATTCCCCACCTGCAACATTGAACTCCAAGGATTCTCCCCACCCCGAGGTCTGGAGGTTTATTACCTACAGAGTCCAGATTCTTGGGCATCTCCTTGAGAGAAGTGGAGGGAGAAAGGGCTGGTGCTGCTCTGTGCTGACTGTGGCACAGGAGTGAGGAGAAGAAAGTTGGCTCGGAGGAAGCCATACAGCAACAGTGGCATCCTGAGCTGTGAACTCATGCCATTCAAGATAGGCGAGCCCCATCTCTCTGGGCAACCAGAGGTTCCGGACAGGAGCCACAGCAGCCACAGCAGCCACAGGCCAAATGGACTTGGTAACTTTCGTAAGTAAAGAGACCATTAGCACCAGCCCTCAGGGGAATAGCTGAGACAAAGGCAGTGGGCTGGCAGAGGCTGGAATTGACACCTGAGTGTAAACTCTAATTTGCTTGCTGCCCAGAGCTGAGTTCCTCACCAGCTCTAGCAGCCTCTGACTTGGTATAAGGCTGGAACGTCATGAACTTTCAAAGCCTAAATTCTTCCCCTGCTGGACTGGACTCAGATTTCCCAATGAGCACCTGCCCTCGGGAATCCTGAGACAAAG